CCAAATTGCTAGCTTGAAGGAGTGTTTCGCGTGGATAGAAGAGTGCAATGAATTAATTAAACAGCTTGAAGAATGCAATCATGTCAAGCGTCCACGGCTCTCCATTGGATGCAGACAATCTCTAATCGCTACAATTGCACGACTTGAGGGTACAAAGACTCAATTAGAAAGATTCGATTTTTGCATTTTGGTGGTGATTACGCGAGCACTAGCAATAACAGTGACAATAACGCGGAAAGATCTTTTGTTTGGCGAGAGATCGATGCGGCGTTTGAAAATCGAATTTTAACCTGTACGGTAATTAACGCGAACTATATCGAGCTGCGACGATTTTTAGAAGACATCAGCAGTGTAGTGCTCGAGCGAGTGCAAGACACAATAGAAAGACACAAACTGCGTAAAAGTGAACACCATATTTAACGGCGAATTTGTGACAGGTGATAAACGTGCCAATAAAAGTATTAATACTAAAAACTATGAACTTTTCCGAACATCGAACTTGCGTGAATGGTACGAGCGGCACGTCATCGAACCCACGTTGGCATCTCTCGAGGAATTTCAAGAACGTGACAGTGGGTGGGCGTTGTCGCGAATCATGAATCTTACAGTAAACATAAATAAGTGTAATCCATTGCGCGCAGGATGTCGCTTCGAAGTGCCGCGAGAGATAATGACAAAGAGAGCGGTGATTAACGTACGCTCGATGGACAATGCATGCTTCGCATGGTCGGTGGTCGCCGCTCTGTACTCAGCCGAAAGAAATGCGGATCGTGAATTTTCCTACCCACACTATACGACGGTGCTGAATTTCCAAAATATAGAATTTCCTATAACGTTAAAAGACAACAAAATTTGAAACGTCTCAACGACGTGTCCATTAACATATACATTATCGAGAGACAAAAAACGCTAAACGTTCTCCCGATACGACTCGCTGACGACAAAAAGGAGAAACATGTTAATTTACTATATTTGCGAGATCCGCGAGACGATAATGTGGGCCACTTCGCATGGATCAAGAATATTTCTCGGCTCATGAGCTCGCAATTGAATAAACATAACGGCCAAAAGTACATTTGCGATCGGTAAGTATACGATTAATAAAAGCGAATTCTTCTTTAAAAATAAATTTTAAAAAACCATTATTTATTTTTATTTTGCAGCTGTTTACATTATTTTCATTCCAACGAGAGATTGCAGTTACACATGGTAGATTGCGTACGTATAAACGACTGCGCTATTCGACTACCGAGTGACGACGACAAATGGTTGAGCTTTAACAACTATAATAGGAAGGAACGAGTTCCATTTGTCGTTTACGCTGATCTGGAATGCATCCTCGAGAAAACTGATAGCGATCAGGAAGCATCTACGCTCACGTATCAACATCATCATCAAGTATTTAGCATAGGATACTACGTGCGCTGTTCATACGACAATTCGCTATCAAAATATCGATTTCGTCGCGATCCGGATTGCGTTTCATGGTTCGTCGAAAAACTGAGAAGTTTAGCACATTGCGTAAAAAGAATTTTAGCAGCTAATGTCCCCATGGAAACTTTGTCGAGCGAACAGTGGGAGACATTGCACAGCGCGACGCATTGTCATGTGTGCGAAAAGCCTTTCGCACTAGACGATAATCGAGTAAGCGATCATTGCCATTTAACCGGTCGTTACAGGGGTCCCGCGCATTCAAATTG